AATCCTCAATATCAGGTCCATTTAATTTAATAATTAAATGTTTATTTAATGTGCTAATATTCATTTTGTTTCTTATTTTATCCTTAATTAATTTTGTTTGAGAAAATATTCTTTCAACATTAGCATTTGAAAGAGGAATAATAAGTGCTATTTTATTTTAATTATTATTTTATTATTTATTAATAATTGATTATTTATTTATTATTATTGTTAATTATTATGTGGAAGGAAGTTTTTAATTTTTAATATTAATATTAAAATCCGCACATTAGATTTGTTAAAAAATTTTGCGCACACAAAATTTTGTGTAACTTACTGCGCGCGCCGATTCCGCCGATTGAATTTCGAACACTGATCAAAATGCGATATAATAGGACTTAACCTTTTTTTATTAAGAAAATTTGATATATTTGGAATTATCATGCAGCAAAACATGGTCAACAAAAATATTTATACATTAATTAAATTCATCAAAAAAAATTTAGTTACTGAACTGATCTACAAATAATTCATGAAAATATGACAAATAATACCAATGACATTAATCTTGAAGACAACTTTTATCCTCCTGATGAGAATGAAGATAGCTCTTTTTCTTCTAACCAAATCAACAGTATTTCTTTCCCTTCAAGTTCATTGAGGTTTTCTAATAAAAGGCATTAAATAAAAGAAAAGGTAGACAATTTTCTTATATCTGGAACTACTTCAAAATGGGAGAAGTGACAGGTCATGGTCATTACAAAGCAACATGTAATTTTTGTAAAAGAGTTTGGAATCGTGGAAAACCCAAAAGAATGGCTGCTCATCTATCTAATAATTGTCTACAAGTTCCTCATGACATTCGTAACACAATTTTAAATGCTTTTTTAAAAGAATATGGATCTTCACCTCTTGATGAAAGTAGTAATGATGATGATTATGACAATGACAGAAATCAGGTTACTAAAAGACCAAAATCAGTAGCTGGCAGCACATTGCATGATTTTTATGATAAAATTAATTTACCATTAGGACGCAAAAAAGAAATTGATCATTCTCTTTTAAGAGCATTTGTAATGTGTGACATTCCTTTTTCAGCGATTAAAAATCCATATTTTTTAGAATTGTTAAAACAGCTTAATGGTGGATATCAACCTCCTTCATTTGATGTTTTATCTGCAAATCTCTTAGATATTGAAGTCGCCAGTATTAATTTAAAGATTGAAAAATTACTTGCAAAAAGTAAAAATATAACATTAAGTAAGCGTCATAAATTTTTTAAAAATTTTTTTTTACTATAGTTTTAATCTTTATTTAATTATCTCACAATTAATTTATCATTATAGGCCTTGATGGGTGGGGTAGCCCCAATGGTCTGTCAATTTGGAATTTTGTCATTACAACTTCTGATAAAAAAGAGTATTTGTATAAGTTAGAAGATTTGTCTGCTGAAAGACATACAGCACAAATTATTGCAGAAAAAATTGAAAATGTGATGACCAAGATTGGTCCACAAAGAATCGTTGCACTTTTATCAGATTCAGGTGCCAATGTTAGTTTGGCAAGAACAATAGTCAAGAATAAATATAAACATATATTAAATTTGAGATGTATAAATCACTGTCTTAATCTAATTTCAAAAGATGTAATTAAACATGGATTTGCAGAGAGGTTAATTAGAAGAACAAGTATTGTTGTTAAGTTTTTTAAAAAGTCTTACATAGCAAATAATCACTTAAACCAACTTATTAGAGAGAAAGCAATACAAGGCGGTGGTTTGAAACAATATGTGCCCACAAGATGGGTTACTACACATGATTCTATATCATCAATTGTGAGGCTACAACCATGTTTACAAGAAGTAAATTAATATTTCATATGTTATATATTTTTTTTAATTGACATTTTTTTATTTCTAAGCTTTTTTTAAATAAATATAATAAATAGGTAATTCATTCCAATCTTGATATTATTTCAAATGATACTGTAAAAAATATTCTTCAACGAAGAGGTTTTTTTGAAGATATAAATGCTTTAGCTGAAACATTAAAACCAATCCGAACAGCCATTCAAGAATTAGAAAGCTCATGTGTTTCACTTGCTGATTGTTATATTAGTCTCATCAAAATTGCTGCTGCATTCAAACAATTACCATCTGATGATTATAAAGGATTTCGAAATCATTGCATAAAAGTGTTCAATGAAAGGTAAATACTATTTTGAACTAATAATTAAAATATAATCATATTTAAATACTATAATATTTTATTATTATATTAATATTAATATTAGATTTTCAGAATTCATGAATGATACATATTTGTTAGCATACTACCTACATCCTAAATATAAAGGTTATTTAATTTATTTAATATAATTATAATTAATTTATAATTTTTATAATTTAATGGTTATATTAAATATTAATATTTATTAAAAATAGGCATTGGTATTAATAAACAATATTTTCCAAAAATTTTAATGCATGCTGGAAGTATTTGGAAAGATTTAAGACATAATCAAAATTCATGTAAAGATCTGTATGCTCAATTACGTAAATATCAACTACATTCAGAACCATATGATGCACCTTTCTCAGATAACTATGATACTCCTTATTCCTGGTGGATGACATGCAATGATCAAACAGATAACCTCAAGAAACTTGCCTTAAAAATTTTTGCAGTCACACCTAGCTCTGCTTGCTGTGAGCGTATATTTTCTTCGTTGGGTTGGTTTTATGGCAAGCGCTGTCAAAATTTATCACTAGAAAAATTAGAAACAATGGCTAAAATTCACAGATATTATATTACTGATGCAAAGAAAGAGCTTGGATTTGTGGCTCAGGATAAAAGTGAAAATGATCTTGGGAGTTGGATAAATGCTGCATATAATACACTAGAAGAAGATGATGATGAAAATAATGATTCAATTCTAGAATTACTTCCCGAAAATAATGATGATTCTGAACCTAGTGATGACATTGAATTAGAGTTGGAAAGAATTCTCTCACTAAATGAAGTATTTGTTGTTATAAACAATAATGATTATGTTACAGCAAATCAAGAGGAGAATACAAACAGTGAAGCAACTGAAGAAATAGAAGATTACGACCCAGCACAATTAGCTTCTAATTATCTAAGTGATTTAGAATAATATATTGAATATTTTATATATTTAGTAAATAGTTAAAAATTTTTCAATTTCACAATTTAAAGTTTAAATGGAAAAAATCTATTTTCTGAATATCTTGTTCAATTTTTTTGTTATGTCAATAAAATAATTAGTAATGTAAAATTTAATAAAATTTATAAAATTTATAACAGTTAATGACAGCAGTAGTAATTACTTGTATTGATAGTATTGTTTGAAAGTAATAATCATTTGTAACTATAATGGTAATAATTATTTACAGTGTTCTATGATTGTATCTACCAGAATAGTTGTCTTCTTGTGATAGTTACCAGTAATATATATCAACTATTTGCGGCAGCCATAATTATTTGCGGCAGCCGTATCTATTTGTGGCAGCCGTAATTATTTGCGGCAACCGTATCTATTTGCGGCAACCGTATCTATTTGCGGCAGCCGTAATTATTTGCGGCAGCCGTAATTATTTGCGGCAACCATATCTATTTGCGGCAGTCGTAATTATTTGCGGCAACCGTATCTATTTGCGGCAGCCGTAATTATTTGCGGCAGCCGTATCTATTTACGGCAAGTGTCTTTAGATGATCCGTGTAAATAAAATATCATGTGAATAAAAAAAATTTATGTACTAGTACAAAAAATTTTAAAATATAATACTTTTTATCATCTTTATCTAATTCATCTTTTGATGCCGTTGCTTCTTTACTAGTTTGTAAGATTACTTACAATGAATAATGATAATAACGAATATAATTACAATGGCAATGATAATGGTAATGATAATGAGAGTGAACTTACCTATATAGATTCGGAAGAAGAGTTGGATGGAAATGTATTAAATGTAATTTCTAATGAACAGACTAAAATTACTAAAAACAAACTAAAAAAGGCACCATTAAAAAAAAGTTGGGTGTGGAATTGGTTTGCAAAAATAAATTTATTTACCTAGTGGTAAAAAAGGTTCAGAATGCCAAGTACCAAATACAACTGTAAAAAACGTTATGTAACAGATGGATCCACAGGAAATTTAATTAAACGAATTTTGTTTTTAAATTGTGTTGAACGTATTCACCCACTGAATTAACTTTATAATAAATATAAATGAATTGTCATAAATTATTAGCATTATTACTCTTTTTGTAACATTTTATACTAATATTGCTGAATTATCCGTTCAAACCGCGGATGATCAGGATAATCCGTTTGAATCCGACGGATGTATTTTTCGAGCAATTAACGGATGACGGATTGATTTTTTGAGATAAATGACGGATGAACGGATCTAAATTTGTTGATGATCTACATACTCAAATGCGCGTCAAAGATGAACAAAAGTGCAAAAAGAAAAACTTTGGTCCTTGCATAGTATGTGGTAATCAAGAACATAATATAAGTCAAATTCTAATATTGAAAATATAAATATAAATTTTCAACTTGATGACCAATTGTGTCAAAAGCATCGATTAATTAATTATGATCGTAATAAAACCCTATATTTTGGGCGAAATTTTATGGGGATTGAAGATATATATCAAAAGTGAAAATTTTAGGACTTATAAATGTCAGAATCGTAGAACTTATCTTTTCTCTGGGCATTGGTGCAATGTTAAGAATTGCTGAATATTAATATTATTCCTGGTTTAACACTTTGTTACAATAAATAATAGACAGTGATTATATTACAGGCAAAGTATTATTATTATATTATATGGTAATTAATATACTTTTATAATAATTTTTAGTGTAAATACAAGTTTTTTCTATAGCATATAATTTAAATAATAATAATCAATTAAAAGATTACATGTTTGAGAATTCATTCCTTGAATTTGACAGGATAACAATAAAAAGGGTTGATTATCAACAAAAATTTAGCCAAATAGATTAAATTGTTGATCAGTGGGTTGATAATAATGAGGAAAAATATCATCAGTTTGATTTTCTTCAAAATAGTCCGTGCCATAATAAAAGCATCTAATATCAATGTTAGTTTCAGGTGATTCGAAATGCGCACTATCTGACCGTTGGTCCATCGTGATCTCGATGACATTTTCTTGTGAGATAGGTATTACTGCTGTAGTCGATTCATTGGTGCTAATATTATTTTCAATATTCATTATACCCGTGTTATTTCCATCATCAATTATATTTAGATTACTAATGTTATCAATATATTGTTGATCGTCAAATAATCGATTATGTTCTCTCGGAGACAAAAGTTCAGCGTTTACTTTTTGGGTTAAAGATGTATTAATTTGAGCATGCTGAGTATTATCCCAGGCCACTGGTTCGGGTATATTATCAGTGTTATTATTAATGAGCTCCATGAGTTTATTTATAAATTGTGTAAATGCAAAAAGATAATTCGGGATATAAATCAATGAAATGATTAGAATTTTCTTTTCAAAGGTCAAAATTAAGAGCTATTTATTTGACAGTTAAATGTCTTGATTAATCCCTTATAAGAAGTACGAGGAGACTTGACATCATTGAGAGTTTAAATAAGGATATTATTTATAATCTCAAACAGGGAAATTTAAGTTTTCCTTGTTGCTTTCTATGCTATCTATATCATTCATTATTTGATGCTAATTGCTTATTATGGTCATATTTGATTTTATAAATGTGTTTTCAGTAGCATCATTGGACGAAAATTTTCGTTACACGAATTGATATAGATAAATTAATTAATTACAGTCAAACCTCGTCACAGCGGACCTCGCCACAGCGGATTTCTTGTTACAACGGATTTAAATATTGGCCCCTTTT